CCCCGGTGGTGCTAATCTTCCAACCGAACGGGAGAATTTTATCTGCACCTATAAATCCGTGAACAAGATTGTGGCTGGGCTTCGTCAGGTCTCAGGCCTCGCAATCGATGCGGTCTTAAACCCGATGCTAGCACCATCATACTTCATGTGCTGTCGCTTCATTCTGGCGCAGTGGCGTCTATCGCAGCAGGGGTCTTACCGCTTGGATCTGAATCTCGTTTTAAAATTGCTGGAACGGATGTCCCAGGAGCAGGCGCACCTGCCACGGATCTATAAAGATATTATTGACCAGGAGCTGGGTAGGCATTTGCAGCCAGGAGGGGGTGTTATTCAGTCCCTATTGCGTACGGATTATTGCTTTATGATTTAGGGCGTTGTATCCAATATAGATCCTGAATACCCGATAATTGATTCTTTATGTCATGGACCTGGCGGGGAATCTGATCACTATGGAGATGAGAGTAGTTTGCACAAAGCCGATAAGGCCCAATGCCCAAAAAGAGAGGCCGAAGAAGACTAGTAGATTCCCATGCTAAGCTTGAGCTTGAACTCATCCCATCCGCCTAGTCACAGATACCTCTTGTAGAAAGTAGGGGGCGTGAGTATAGTTCATTTACTTTGTAATGTAAATTTCCTCCCTTTCGTTACATGGTATTGCCATCTTTGGAGTACGCCCAAGCCCTATCAAACTCATTCCAACCCCCAGGCGGCGCGTCCCACATAGCCAATTCACGAACCACAGTCTCGTAGCATCCATCGCTGGGCATATTTCCCTGACAGACATTTCCTCCGACAGCGATGTTGATGAGGATTCTAAACTCACTCATCTTCCTCGTGCCAGGCGGCTTCTCGGCCCTCATGATGGGCGTGCCATCAATCAACCAGACCAAGCGCCCTGCGCCCGTTGTTTCGTCCTCGTCCCAGATAAAATCGTACCTCACCCCCACCGGCGAGCTAATGTTGGGGATGGGGGTTTCAAGAACGCGATGCTTGTTCCAGTCCTCGCCGTTGAAGTGACCCCAATGGAGACAAGTGTGGTTGACAGCATCGCCGTTCCACGCTTCCATGATGTCGATTTCGCCATCCTCGGGCCACTTGAAGGGGTCTTTAGGCAGCAGCCAAAAGGCAGGCCAGATACCTTGGGCCACCGGTGCCGTAATTCTGGCCGACAGACAGCCCCGTGGGCGGTCGAGGGTCTGGTGACTCGACAGTCTGGCGCTGGTAAACTTCTGGGCAGGGTCGGGATGTCCGTGGTTGATCAGAGCACGCACAATCACCGCATCTCCCTGGCTTGAATGGAATGAGTTTTGTGGGCTGTCAATATAATTCTGCGCCTCGTTGTTGCCCCATCCATTTTGACCCTGTTCGTGGTAAAAGTTGGAGGACACGGGTGCTTCAGGATGTAGATTGGGCTGCCAGTAGATCTGGGGTTGCGAGTACTGTTGCTGATAAGCTAGTGGAGGTTTGCTAGAGGTTGGAATAGGCGGTGGGGGATGGTTGTTGTACGATGGTGCCGGCTCGGGGGCTTGATCGGTTAATTCCCCCAAGCCTTCTCTGCCTTATTGATGATGCCCTGGAAGGCCTGTCTGAATGGCATGTTGAGTACGACCTATGGGATGCTGGGATTTGGCACCTGCGCACAACGAAGAACGTGGGGACACGAAAAACAAACAGTCAGCAAAGCTGACGTCATATTGTGGATATCCCGAAAGGTCCTTGGAATCCCCTTTCACGTCCTTTGAAACCTTCTCGCCATCACCTCGGGAAATATATTGATCCCTTCCTAGGGCTGAATAGATCTTATCAGTGAACACTTTATGCCTCCATTGGTTAGACCAGTTAGACAAGACTCAGATCAGATAAATAAATCCCAGGCCCACTTATAATCCATCACATGACCAATGGGGTACAAGCAAAATTTTGGCATCACAAAATTTCAAGACCTTCTGACTTCTAACATAGTGGCCTATCTAGTGTACTAAAACTTAACGTTAGTCACATCATTCACCTCATTCCACATTTTTCTCTCGATATCAACAATATCATCCGCCAACACGTGCCTCTCTATTCGCACTATCTCCAAGTATGGCAGAAGCATGCCATCCCAATCCCCCTGCCGCAACAGAACTCTCTAAAGCAGAGCGCTTCAAAGCTACACACCTCGCCGCGCGCCATGGCAACTACCACCAATATTATGCCAAATTCCGGGCTCCCACCATTCCGGACGAGCGCCTCTCCATTCTCCCATCAGATATCCTCCGCAACGCACGAGTCATAGACCTAGGCTGCAACGCGGGAAAATTGACCAATGAGGCGATGGCGCACTGCGGCGCAGCCGCCGCAGTCGGCGTCGATATCGACCCGTGGCTGGTCGAGCAGGCGAAGGCGGCCTACCCAGACGGACCGTGTACATTTGAGCACTTTGACTTCGTGGATGCGTCCGCGTACACGGGTACCGCGCTGGGCAAGTTCGATGTTGTTCTACTTCTCTCTGTGACCAAGTGGATCCATCTCAATAACGGGGACTCTGGGATGTTGACCCTATTTGCGCATATACACAGCATACTGAATCAGGGTGGTTATCTCGTCGTGGAGCCGCAACCTATGAGCAATTATGCGAGAGCTTCGAAGAGGAATAAAGAATTGAGAGAGACGTATAAGACGATCCAGATCAGGCCGCCGTTTGAGGATGAGTTGAAAGCGCAGGGATTTGAGAGGATATTGCAATTTGAGAGGGATGAGGAGGGGTTTGCTAGGCCCGTACATGTTTGGAAAAAAATATCGTAATAATATGATCCACTGAGATGGCTTAAAATGAGCCGGGCGAATTAATTTGCATTGGGAAGACATAGACCTTTTGGTTGGTAGGTAGGTAAAAGGGGACTAGATGAAACATATTTGACGTAGTATTTACTGGAGAAAGTGACGGGTCATGATTTATGGACAGGAATCCCAGAGTAGCATAATCCTTGGCCTTGAAGTAGCCAGTCAGATAGTTTACTTAATGATCAAAAGAATTGTTTACCACATCACTACGTACTCAGGAGTCCGATGACGAACCCGGGCTTTTTTGAACTGCCCTCAATATCAATACGGGATACGCTACAGATCTACAATGTTAACGATCCCATTGATGTGTCAGTGTGAGACAAGATAGGGCTTAGGATCATATCGTTTCCTGGACAGTGAGCTCTGGAAGCCTTGTCAAGCCCATGGAGATCTCTTAGTTGAATGCCTTGGGTTGGGATTCTCCCGACAGCCAACAATTACCTGCATGATATATAGAGCTTTGTTGAGTCCAAAGTGAAGCATATAATTCTGACGTCTGGCTCAAAAATAGTCGACCGCCATATGGCCACTATCATTGACGACATAGGTATATCTAAATATTTGGCCCACGATGATATTGGGACGTTGTATATAAGCCACACTACGATACGTTCTTAGACATCTTCTCAAAGTTTGTACATAGAAAGGCCTCTTCGCAAAATATCTTTTAACCGCCTTCGTATGCCTAAAAGAATATGACAGGGCCGCCGCCCTGTATAAGCGGCCAACCGTTGTTTTCTATATTAAAACTATGAGACAAAACACAAAAACATACAGCAGCATGTCTTAAGGTGGTGGTCACCTAGCGCCCACGGTTCGGGCATGGGCGGCTCGCCGCTCTATTCAGGGCACCCAGGGTGGATATTCAACCCGTATAGAAAAACGTACATTTCCCTATACTGACTGAAAAAGCTATAAGTACTCTTCTTTTCCTCTCCGCTTTCATCCCTCGAGCCTCGCTTTACCACTAATCTCGCTTGGTCACGAGTAAGATGCCTACTAAGCATGACCCAACGTTTAATTATCGAGACTGCGGAAGGTATGATAATGCTTTTACTCACCAAGGAGTGCGAATTTGTTAAAGCATATTGGCCAAAGACAATATGGGAGATTCCTAAGCACGCTTTCTACGAAGTATACGCCGAGCATGCGTCTATATTTCTAACCTTTTGACGTTGTTTTTACCAATGGCCACCTCAGAGATAGCTTTCAGAGATTACGCTTCAGTGGACGAGATCCTAGATGCTGTCGACATGCATGAGCAAGTCGGTCCTTCGGAGGATAAGATCCTTGAGAAAGATCAAGTTTCTTATGATTGAGCGTCATCATAGAACTTCATTCCTTTTATTCGTAATTTAGTAGTATCTTCCTTCTATATGTCGGTTATCGATTGCTTGACAGCTGATCAGTAGTAATGCAAGTCTGACTAGTGAATGCTATGAACTTCACAGCATCAAAGCCATATTTTCAAAACGCGCAATAAAATATAATTATGTAGAGCTATTCTAGAACAAAAAAAAAAAATTTTGATTGAGAAGAGGACCCAGATCTTATGAGTTTTGGGACCTGTCGATCGGGGTATATTAATAGAGAAGATTCTAGACCAATCTAATGGTTCTTTTCTTGTGGACAATTTGAAATCCAAATCGGGGGCTCGGGATGGAGGCTCGCAGTGCTTCTTGCATCTAGCAAGCAATAAGATGACAGGTTACTATGCATCGATTTCCCTCAAGGCGAAGCAAGAGCTTTGCGCTATGGGGACGAGCTCCTAACCGTTGGTCTCAGTTGGCTAAGGCTTGGGACATCAGAACTGGGCAAGTGGTGCACAGCTTCAGGAGCTCTCTGCGTCCGCTGAGGATGTAATTCGACGGAGAGACGCTTTTTCTCGCAGTCATATATCTGGATGGTGATCTTGTCCTGCTTGGCCCGTTTGCCGATCAGCAGCTTTTTTTTTGCGCCAACTGCCAAAGCTGCCAAACCTTCGCCCTAACCCCGAATAGCAACTCGGCTTCTGGTTCATCTGATATGACCCAACTGATATATTTCAACGTTACGCGGACTAGCGCGATCAGGTCACCTGACAATAAAGCTACAAGGATGCTACCCCTCATTCAGCTGAGTGACCTGCAATCCCCCCATCAGGAAGAACGGCATCCTATGCTACTCTGGATATGGCACAGACTACTTATACTACTCGCGTCAATCATGGACTTCAGGTTGGAAACAACCAGGGTTCAATTGAAGCAAGCTTCTATGGTAAGGGCAATTGTGTATTGATGAATTGAAAAATCAAACTGACGCTTTTCACAGCCTATACTGCTGAAGATATCGATCGGCTTTGCCTTCGTGACCTACGCTGCCCCAACTCACTAGCTGTGAAGAATCGGCTGAAAAAGACTAAAGACAAGCTTCTCCTTCAATCGTTCGAATGGATCCTTCAAAACCCAGAGTATCTGAGTTGGCGAGATGGAGAAGATATCTGTTTGCTTTGGATCAAGGGCGGTGCCGGCAAAGGGAAAACCATGATGTCGATTGGTCTTATCGAGGAACTCTCACGGATACGCCATGAACCTACTGTGGTAGCTTATTCATTTTGCGAAAATGCCAACAATGCGCTAAACACTCTGGAATCAATCATAAAGGGGTTGATTCTGCAATTGATGAATCAGCAAACCGACCTAAAGGAATCTCTTCGCAGCCGTTGGGATACTATGCATGACCGATTTAATGAGGACATGACCTCGTGGCAAAATCTGTGGAATGTTCTTATGGAGATGCTGGACCGGTGCCATTGCTCAAAGATATTCATTATTGTGGACGCTCTTGATGAGTGCCAAGATAAAGGTATGGCGGACTTCTTCAAACGCCTTGTCCGTAATGGACTAGATCAACCCGCCAAGATCAAATGGCTCTTAACGAGTCGACCGTTAGACAGTGCAGAGCGGGCACTGCTTGTTGGTCGTGATCAGGTCCAAGTCAATCTTGACCTTAAATCGAAATTTGTCTTTGAAGCGGTAGAGGCCTACATCTCCTATAAAGTGGATGAGCTCAGTCATCTTCACAGATATAGAAAGACCTTAAGCACTGAAGTGAAAGCCAAGCTTACTACGAAGGCTGAGGGTACCTTTCTATGGGTGAGCCTAGTTTGTAAGACACTCGAGAGTGTCAGCCAAGATAAGGTCTTGACCACAATTCGAAACTTGCCTCCAGGCCTACATCCTTTCTACGATCGGATATTGAACCAGCTAAGCAAAGGCGAGCCAGATGATGTCTACAAGTGTATGCGACTGCTTAAGGCTATGATACTAGCATACCGACCTTTGAAAATGGAAGAAGTTCCGAGTGTAACTGGTCTAACCAACGAAGACGACGCTATTCAGATGTTAGTCAATCGCTGTGCTTCATTTGTCAGGATGCAAGAACATAAAATCGAGTTTGTTCATCAGTCTGCTCGAGACTACTTAGCTGGGGAGAATGGACAGTCTTTACTTGACTCATATGAACGCTTTGGACATAATGAAGTCGTCTTGTGCTGTCTTTCTTACTTGTCTAATCGTCTAAAGGTAAATCTTCTAGATTTATCGCGACTTGACTCAACCAGAGAATCATCGAAACCACAGAAAGACACGCAAGGAAGTGTCCGACTATCTTGTCTAAACTATGCAGCTACTTTCTGGGTGCAGCATCTCAAGAGTATAAAGCGAACAGACAAAGCACAGAGCGTGTTTATTGAGAAGGGTGTGGTCGGTACATTCCTCAATAAAAGGTTGTTGGAATGGCTAGAATGTCTTAGCTTATTAGATAGGCTACCGTGGGCCATCGGATTACTCAAAACATTGCAGAATGTAGTGGAGGTCAGTCTTTGATATGTTTTTATATCTAGTCTTTGCTAATAAGGTTTTAAGGGCGACCCTTCAGCATCAGCACTCGTGCAGGATGCCACACGTTTCTTGTTGCGAAACTACTATACTATAGCTCATTGGCCATTACAGATCTACAGCTCAGCTGTTATCTTTAGCCCTGAACTAAGTATCGTGAAGAGGAAAAATTCAGACAAAACCTCAGGATATCTAAAAAGGGCCCCAGTGGAGGAGACTTGGGGTTCTCTGGTTCAGACCTTAGCAGGCCACGCGGACACCGTCCAAACTGTGGCATTTTCACCAGATGGCACGCAGATTGCATCAGGCTCTTGGGACAAAACCATCAAGCTTTGGGATACTACAACGGGCGACCTTCTGAAGACACTGGAGGGACACTCAGACCAGGTTTCGACTATAGCTTTTTCGCCAGAGGGCACCCAGATCGCATCAGGCTCTGATGATAAAACCATAAAGCTCTGGGATACTACAACGGGCGACCTTCTGAAGACACTGGAGGGACACTCTGACTGGGTTAGGACTATAGCCTTTTCACCAGATCGCACCCAGATCGCATCATGCTCTGTTGATAAAACCATCAAGCTCTGGGATACTATAACGGGCGACCTTCAAATGACAATAGAGGGACATTTAGACAGGGTCAATGTTGTGGTCTTTTCGCCAGACGGTACCCAGATTGCATCATGCTCTGATGATAAAACCATAAAGCTCTGGAATACTATAACGGGCGACCTTCAGAAGACACTAGAGGGACACTCAGACTCGATTTCGAGTATGGCCTTTTCGCCAGATGGCACCCAAATTATATCAGGCTCTGTTGATAAAACCATCAAGCTCTGGGATACTATAATGGGCGACCTTCAAATGACACTAGAGGGACACTTAGACAGGGTCAATGTTGTGGTCTTTTCGCCAGACGGTACCCAGATTGCATCAGGATCTGTTGATACAACCATCAAGCTCTGGGAGACCGTAACAGGCAATCTTCAGAAGACACTAGTTGGGCACTCGAACCTACTCACAACTATGGTCTTTTCGCCAGACGGCACCCAGATTGCATCAGGCTCTATTGATACAACCATCAAGCTCTGGGATACCGTAACAGGCAATCTTCGGAAGACTCTAGAGGGACACTCAGACATCATAGGGACTATGACATTTTCACCAGATGGCACCCAAATCATATCAGGCTCTTCTGACTGCACTATCAAACTTTGGGATACCATAACAAGTGACTCTCAGAAGAAAATAGAAGGCCACTTGGGTGGGGTTGATATTGTGGTCTTCTCGCCAGATGGCACCCAGATTGCATCCGCCTGTGGAGACAAAACAGGCGCTGAAGATGAAACCATCATGCTTTGGGATACTGTAACAGGTAACCTTCAGAAGATGCTAGACGGGCATTCGGAGTCGGTCTTGATTATAGCTTTTTCACCAGATGGGCGGGCATATTGTATCAGGCTCTATTGATAACACTATCAAGCTTTGGGATACCGTAACTGGTGATCTTCAGAATACATTAAACGGACACTCGAAATCGGTTAGGACTGTCGCCTTTTCACCAGATGGCACCCAGATCGTATCAGGCTCTGATGACAAAACTATCAAGCTTTGGGATACCATAACTGGTGATCTTCAGAATACATTAAAAGGACACTCGAAATCGGTTAGGACTGTCGCCTTTTCACCAGATGGCACCCAGATCGCATCAGGCTCTGATGATAGAACCATCAAGCTTTGGGGTACGACAACGGGTGATCTTCAGAAGACACTAAAAGGACACTCGAAATCGGTTAGGACTGTGGCCTTTTCATCAGATGGCACCCAGATCGCATCAGGCTCTGATGATAGAACCATCAAGCTTTGGGATATTTGCAAATATCTCAATGCCTCAAAATTTCTTCCACGATATTTCAATAGCGGTTTCAAGGTCCAACTACGGGAAGAAATTCAGACATCAGAGCCAGTACATGACCTAAAATATTCGGCAGGTGACTGGTATCTTGCAACAAACATTGGACCTATCAGGAGCGAAGGCATTGCTAGAGACAGACGGGAAGGCAATCCATCGTCTTTACTGAGTCTATCCATAAGAGAGCAATGGATATGCTATGAAAGAATTCCGTTCTTTCGGCTACCTTCCGATTTCCAACCATTATCCTATGATGTGCGTGGCGATCAAGTCGCTATTGGATTCGGAAATGGTCAAGTTCTGAGCTTTTACGTCGATCGACGTATCCTGCAGACAATGCAAGAATTTGCTGAAGTGACAATCAAGCAGACCACATAGATATAAATATGGAGAGGAAAGGAGCTAGACAGATTTACTGCTAGAAGTTCTATGAGGACATATACAGTTTTACAGCGCCAGCCTCTTTGTATTTTAGTTTAAACTCTTATCAGGATTTAATTGGTCGTAGCTATCCTATCTCTAATCATCTTTATCATTATCGGAAACGATGAATGTGTATAGAAGTGTTGTGGACATGTCTTGCTGAGTCCTACGGTATGGTACGGCAAGCCAAGCCGAAGAAAACCCAAAGAACCACAACCAACGCCGACATGCTTTTCTAGACCTATTCAAAACCGGGTATCACTTTTGTGTTCTCAGCCAGTCGTTAATATTTCATATAATGCTGCGGGCAATTCCAAGTGTTATCCCTTGAGTCGCCGTAAACTACTGGGTGCAAATAACTGTAGTATTGGCAAAGGATAACTGATGTGAGAGATCTAACTACAGCAATGAAGACTGGAGAAAACCTAGATCGATTCGCTGAAAACTAAGATGGACGGGGGAAGAAAGAAAGGAATAAGGAGAAAGGAGAGCTATCTGTTAAACTATGTGGGACGATGGAAGGTTATGAGGCTTGAGGCCAGAACATCTCACCGAAGAAGTAAATCTACATAACAGTTTGATTCTCCTAAGCGCCCCTTCTTTTTCTTTCCTACCATCATGTCATTCCTAGGACCACATGTGTCAACCGGTAGAAACTAGTACCAGGAAGCTGTCATCAAAGCAACACGCCTGTACGGGAGGGGAAGGACATGTCAGCGGTTCAGAGGCATGCAGGAAATTCAGGTGTATGGGCTGAATGGGCTGGACAGCAGGGCGGCAAAAGGAAGTTTCCGAACGAATGAAGAAAACAAAAACATACAACAGTGAGGATTCGCTGGTGGTCACCCACCCAACTACTAACTCACCGGCGTGTGGCTTAAGTACGGCTGAGCGGACGGGAAGCCCTGTTTTCCACACCCTATGGTCGTATGTATCAAGTCATTTGTGGAAGAGGATCACATAGTGATAGGGTAACAGGGAGTGTAAGTGGTTGGTGGTGGGGATGAGGAGGCAGTAGAGATGGGGTGAGGATAAGGATGAGAATCACCAAAGTCGCGCTTTCAGCCGAACGACTGCAGAACATCATTGAATCATACAGTTTCCCCTGAAACGCTCCACATCCTGGAATCTGTATATGACTCCAACTGAAAATAGAAAAAATATCATACCACCGAGTTTCTAAGGTTGGAAATAGATGGCTTATTAAGATCTCTCACATAATCAATAATACCATCTATGGATAGATCCATGGTTCCGAGGTCATGTCAGTCATCGAACTCTAAACTAGCGGCCTTGTGGGAGAAGATTCCGACCTATATATAGATCATCCGTTATTAGATCTTACTGTAAGATTTAATTCCACAAATTTATCAAATGATATCTATGTACTACGGTGAAAAGCCCCGACATGGCCGACCCGTCGGGTCTTTGAGCCCCGATGTCCGACTGTCAGATCGGGGCCTGAGAGTCGATACGATGATGTATGAATTTAATGTGCCAAATAAAAAGCCTGCACAGTCTTGTTCTCCCAAAGGCATAAATTAACCGCCCTTGCTTCTGATCTTAGCTTCTCCATGTCCTATTGCACAACTCCCATGTCTCATCCTATCTTGATTATCGGTGCTGGGCTTGGTGGCCTTTGCTTGGCCCAGGGACTCAAAAAACGCAACATTCCTTTCAAACTATTTGAACAGGACGAAAGGCATGATTTTCGGACTCAGGGGTATAGATTGAGGGTGAGCAGTGAGGGAATCTACGCCCTCCGGGATACCCTGTCGCCTGAGCTATATGCTCTGTTCGAGAACACCTGCGCCGAGACGATCATGGGGGGTGTGAGGCTTAAACCCGATGGTACACCACTAGGCGGCACTGGCCCTCCTAGGCCTCTTGGGTCTGATATTTTTCTGGAGCCCCAGACCGTCGACCGGAACACGTTCCGAGAGGTTCTGCTGACTGGTTTGGATGAGCATGTGTTTTTCGGAAAGAGCTTTGACCATTACATCGTGGACGACAAAAACATAGTTGCATTCTTTACAGATGGTTCGAAGGAAACTGGATCTCTCCTTGTTGGCGCGGATGGAGTTCGATCTAGGGTCCGCAAACAGTACGTACCAGGTTTAATGGGTATCGATACGGGCATGCGAATTATCTTTGGAAAGACACCTTTGAGTCCCGAATTCCTCGCTCGGTTTCCCAAGGCATACCACCATGGGATGTCGCTTGTTTCAAACCCAGACGATGAATCTCGGACTTCCTTGCTATTTGAACCCATCCGTTTCCCACACGCGGAAAAGGTCTCGAAACCTCAGCTTCCCGACCCATACGTGTATTGGGTGCTTGTCACTCATTACTCGAATATCGCGTCATCAAATGACACACTGTGGCCATTAAGCCCAGAGAAGTCGGCTGAAATTTCTCGACATGTTACCAAGTCGTGGCATCCCGACTTGCAGGTGCTTTTCGAGATGCAAGACGAGGCTCAAACGTCAACCCGATGGATGATTTCTGCCTCACCAGAGTTGGCCTCCTGGGAGCCCTCGCCATATGTGACTTTGCTCGGCGACGCGATTCATCCCATGCCCCCAACTGGAGCCATGGGTGCTAACACTGCCTTGCGTGACGCTGCAGATCTGGCTCGCAGGCTTGAGGTTGGGGTAAATTCGCAAACCCTCGGTCGACATGTCATCGAGGAGTATGAATCGGAGCTACGTGATTCAGCCAGAACAGCAATCGCATGGAGCTGGCAAGGTGGCATGAAGGGCTTCAGGCTAAAACCAGCCGTGGAATGCGAGGAAATCCTCTTATGATCTCGCTTTAGCTCGTATTGAACAACTCTCACCTCTCTAAACTCCTAGCGATCCCTTCCTAAAAATCTAAAAATCTTTAGTATCGGTAGGGAGGCTACCTAAAGATAGTTAATATTTTAATAGACCGAGGCTTAAGTTGTATACAGAGAATTACGCACTTAACGGGGCCATTGCCCACCAACCCGCACTCACAGACTCCACTAAGGCAGAACTGCTGAAGGTCAAACTCGACCAGAAAGTGTTTAAAGCCCACAAGTAGCGAATGTGCTGGCTTAAATTATTATATATTCTAACTAATGGTTTAACACCGACAAAAGGTAGAGGCGAAAACAAGAACCCCGGCTTAGCCTGAAGGGGGCGCCAAATCGAAGGTAGCCAAGGAAGGAAAGCTTGCAAAGCCAGCTAACTCAGTTGGGCATACCCCAACGAGGAGCGTTAACGATGATTCCGGTCAGACAACCGGAGATGATACCGGCGCAGGGAAGCGTGATGATCCAACCCATGTAGATCCAGGCGACCATTCGCCAGTTGATCGTTCGCCAAGTGCCGTTGCAAAGTCCAACACCAACGGTAGCACCAGTAATACACTGGGTAGTGGAGACGGGGAGCTCTGCAAGTGTGATGTGTTAGCTAGGGGTCTTGTAATAATTCGGGAATAGATAAAAGGCGACGTACGCAGCCTGGTGGCAATAATGACAGCAATAGCAGCACCGAGCTCCATAGCGAATCCACGAGAGGGAGAGTGTAGGGTAAGACGGTTACCCAGGTTTCGCATGATGTGATAACCGTATGTCCAGATACCGATAGCAATAGCGGCACCACCAAAGACACTGGAGAATGTGTGTTAGCACGGGTCCGTCCTTACATTGGAGGAGTGAGGCTTACAGGATCCAGATGGGGACCTCGGTCTTAGCGCCTTCAAGGGCACCACTTCTCCATATAGCATAGATGGTTGCATAGGGGCCGACGGCGCTAGGAATAGTTAGTGCATGAGTCGATGGTAGGTAGGTGAAATGGGAAAACTAACTTGGCAACATCGTTCGCACCGTGGGTGAAAGAAGCAGTACAGGCTGTCAGAATCTGGAGGAAAGAAAACATGTACTCCGCTTCGTTATCATAGTGTTCAGCATGGGCATGGGTCTTCTCGAGATCGCCGGCAAGTCTGCTCTCGCCCTTCTGGTCGCTAACAATGTCTTGCTCGACACCATTGAGCAAGGCCTTCTTCAGCATCCAGAACAGGACTGGACGACTATACCATGCTCCCTCGGGACGAGGACCACAAACGTTGATGACATCAGGATCCAGGGATTTCGTCTCGTTATCTGAGTTGGCAGTGACCTGGTGCTGTGCCTTGAGATCAGGGGACTCAGGCTCACTGTTGCTGTTGCTGCGGCTTTGTTCGACATCAGTGGAGCGCTCAGCTTGCAGTTCCTCGAGAGTCTTGTGGCCCCGATAGTAGTTACGGACGGTCTCAACATTGGCAGGACGGGGAGGGACTTCACCCCGGCGGAAGAGAAGAGGGCCGTAGATCAGATCCCAAGGCTTGAGTTGCCAGTCACCCATGATGACCCTGCGGTAGATCCAGGGGCAAAGGAAGACGGCAGAGATAAGAGCCATCCCAGCGGCAACACCAATAACAGTTCCAGCTATCTCAGGCCCTTCGAGATCAATCCTGCTGCTGCCACCCTTCCAGACAATAAGCACTGTATTTTGTCAGTAGCTGATATAAAAGGATCGGGGTCTTGAGGGAACATACTGGTGAGAAGGCCGGTAGTCAAGAAGAAGTAGAATGGAATGGTGTACAGTGCCCTCAGGGCGGGATCCTTCCGTAGTAAGATACCATACTTGGTAATCAAAAAGATAAGCGAGCCAGCAACACCGGATAGGAGAGGTGCAATAACCCAGGCAAGGAACACTTGCACAACACCAGAGTTAATGTCACCTCCCCACCAGATAATATCATCAGAACCAATAAGCGCGATACCCATTCCAAGAATACCACCGAGAATGGAGTGGGTTGTCGAAACAGGAAGACCAATTTTGGTACAGATGGTAAGATATACAGAGGAGGCAACCACAGCACAGCACATTCCAAGCATGAGGAGGGGGGCGTTGTCTTCGAAGGCATCGATCTTGACGATCTTGGTACGGATAGTATCGGAAACACTGTTTCCTACACCAACACTGAAACCATAAGTGAGTACGAGGCCAGCAAATGGAAATCAGATTATGAACTTACGCTCCAGCAAACTCCATGATAGATCCGAGGATCATGGCCTGCCAGTGCTTGAGCGAACGCGACGAGACAGACGTCGACCAGGAGTTGGCGCAATCATTGGCGCCGATGTTCCAGGCATCGAGGAATGCGAATATTGTGCCAATAGCAAAGATATAATCATACTGCTCAAGAACCATCTTGACGGTTGGCAGAAAGCAGCAACGCGCTGGCTTGTCCTTTCTGGAAGGGTTCTAGAAGGTTTCTGGAGGGCTGCCGGGATAAAGAGGAAATTAACAGGATTATGCCTTTATATGTGCCAGCCCCAATATGGGCCAGGACATGACAGCCCTTGCGCTATAGATGCAGTGGTGCAACGATCCAGTATGCCAAGCTGCCAAGGCCCGCCGCGTCGCCAAGAAACTCTCCGCCATCCGTGCACTCGCCAAGATGGGCCTCCGCCGACGAATCCTGCGATCGCATACGAGAACGTGTCCACCCTATATAGAAAGCTTCAGACTACCTGCCCATACCCACGCTAAATGTCGGGCTAATTTCTCGAGATGTCGCAGAAACACGAGCTCCTATTCGCGAATGTCCTTCTTCCGACTAGCACGCCTGTATTATTCTCTTGAGGCGGAAACGTGAAAGCCTCGATTGGACCCCAGCTACTATAGCCATAATCTGCCCTGTCCCTTGGCAGGATAAATGAGCTCGAGCCGGTGCGCCATCTAGGCATCTTACACAAGTCTCAGAACCTGGTGTTCACCACATCGTGCTTAAACTCAACTTTATTATTGGCTGGTTTGATTAAATTATTGACATGGAGCCCCGATTCTGATTCTGACATCCGGCGCACCTCTGGACATCCACGTCTGGTGTCGCGTGGCCACCGTGACCCAGCTCTCTTAGTTCCTCGACCTGTTTCTGGAGGTGTTGGATATACTCCACCGCCGTTTCGAGCAGTTCTGCCTGGCCAAGCAAGTTTCGAGTGAGCACATTTGTCTACCAGAATAGGGGATTGGTTGTATCAGTTGCCTCCATACCTTGGTACCACTCGTTCCCTCATTTCCCGTACCTCCTATTCTCATTATCCGCTCTATTTGGCCCAGCGCTGCTTTCATCCGATCTCGTTGACACTTCTGGGCGTCAGCATGCTGCCTCCTCCGATTCTCCATTGAATTTGGATTTGTCATGATGAGGAGCGAGCCGCCTGCTCCAGTGAACTTCTGTTAGCCCATCCATCTCCCCTGAGTATAATATTGATATCACACGCGCACTCAGAGAGTCAACTACCTTTCGGTCGGATCTCGGCCAACTGTCTCTTTCTGTTTAGGGGATAAGACAATCTCATTTTGCCCACGTCCGCTCGATTGGGCTGCACATTTGCATGCACGTGCGCCATTGTTAATATGTAGTTTCAGCGCTAAGTTTGCCTTATTGATGGCTTGATGGTTTTTCAACAGCTCTAGGCTATCGGGCCCGCTGGGTGGGTATATATATTGGCCACGCAAATGACTCGGACATTAACCCATGCATGTATGCATGCTGTACGCCGCATGGGGACTCGGAATAAAGAGAAGGTTATTCAATGTCTTATTATTAATATCCTTGGCTACAGACTGCATGCACGGACTCCAATATTAATCCTCCCGAGGTTGCGCTTCCTCCTGAAGACGTGCTACAATCTCTCCTGAAGGCCCCCTGTCAACTAAAATGGCCTCACTTTAGTCGGCCACTTGAGCGAGAAAATATAGCCCGTGAGATCAATATGCCAATTGACTTTCATCAAAGTCGGTCCTGTTAGTGCACCTCGCATATACTTTGTGGGGCATTCCTCTTCCACGTGGAGACGAGCAAGGTGGGACTGTCGATAATCACTGCCTAATTTTGTATAACATTGATAAATAGCCATAGATGGATTGATTAATTGTGAATAGACCATGTATCCCATCCTCGCATCGTTATACTCGAAACGATCAATTTTATTAGGAAGAGATTGAGAAGTATCTCGCTCCCACTTTGATAAAGCAATTTTAGGGATTTCAACATCATTTCCAGCTGGTGGGCTAGTAAGGTTTCGGAACAAGTACTCCTATTAATTGGATCGAATATGTCTATAATGTGCGTGAAATTGATATATTTGTCATTTTGTCTTTTCATAGATACGCAAATCCACATTCTAGATAATATAGTACAGTGTAAAGGCAGTGTAAAGACAGTGTGAGAATATAACATGCGGAACCCTCAACGATATAGTGGTTCAACTAGCTCAAGCGCTTAGTACAGAGGCGTCTTGTAGGCATCGAAGGTATAGGTGAAAGTGTCAATCGAAGCCTGATCATACTCGCAGGTCAAGGTCTTTCCGTTACCCTTCCAGTAAGGACGAAGAGGCCAGGCACATATCTGCTCATTGGCGCCCTTGTTATCACCTTGGAGAACTGTGGCGTTCAAAGTATGAGGAACAATGCCCTGCTCCACCCAGCGTGTCATAACCTGCAAGTTGGTCTGCGGGAAGGGACCGTTGGGCTGAGCACTGTTGGTGGCACAGTGAGCAGCTCCGGGCACCAGGAACAGACGGTACCACTCCTTAAGCTCGTCGTTACTAGTGTTGTATGACTTGCCAGGGTACATGGTCTGACGAACGGAATCATAGTAGTGGACAGAAGAGCCGGTGGGGATCGAACTATCTTGCTCGCCATGGAAGTGGATGATCTTACCACCGTTCTCGTGGAATGTTGTCAAGTCTGGAAGAGTAGTCTGGAGGGAGTCCATGTAACGGGTCATTCCTTCCTTCATCCATCCGATGAGGGTATCGTACGTCACGCCATCCAAGGTGGAGATGTTGTCTTCGTCCTTCAAATCCAGGAAACGGGAAACCCATTCACCGCCGGAACTGGCAATGCTCTGTAATTTCCAAACGTTAGTAAAGGTTCAGCACAACCATTATCAAAAAGGGTTAAGGCCATACCAGTTCCCACTCGCCAGTGGTTGTGTTATAGGTTGTTTGGGCGTCATTGAAATCAGCACCCATCTGGTAAGAGATGTATCCACGACGGCCTTTCGAATCAAACAGTCCATCAACAATTTTCTGGGCCACGGCCACACCTTCGGCGCTCACAGTGCCATTCTGGGCAGGTTCGGTTGAGGAAGCCTGACGCTTGCCAAATCCGAGGCCAAGGCTGCTGGCGGTGGTCGCAGCGCAGTGGTATGACTGACCGATGATAGAACTCATATTAAATTGCAGCTGGCAGAGGTCAGAGCGCGACACCACACCGTCATTACGACCGTCCAGAGGATCACAGGCCGAAATGGTCTCGTTCATAATTTTCTCGAGCTCGCATGGCGGGGGATAGTAATCCAAAGTCTTCTCCACAATGTTCGAGTAGAGGTGATTGGCCTGTTGCTGGCCATAGCGAAGGGCTGGGGCACCAATGATCAAGCCATCGTATTCCTCGCCAGCGCGCTGGCCCTGAGACCATCCCTCACGGCCTCCCTCAGAGCAACCCTGGTAATAAGAGTAGACCTTGGTGCTGTCGGATACATCATAAAAGTTCCGAGTGAGCTGCTTTCCGATAATGGTCATCTCCTTGATAGCCTGGTAGCCAAACATGTACACGATCGGCCAGTTGATTGTGCCATTGCTGAGCAGGAAAACACTATCAAAGTCGGTATCCATGCTGCCAAATCCTCCGTCGGTGAAGCCAGAGGCAGCACCATACATCACACCACCGGGTGCAGACATCGAGCCAGACTGGATAGCATAGGCACCGCCTCCAGTAGCAAGGAAGCGGTTCTGGAAGTTATCGGGCGAGGGCAGGTAATAGCCGACGATCACTGTCTGATCCAATCCGCTGTGGGTGTAGGAGAAAGTAACATTGCAGAAGTCGATGGTTGCGTCCGGGAAGAAAGTGCCATCCGAGTGGGATGAGTTGTAGACAGCATTGGCGGTTACAGAATCATGGTCAAAGGTGACGCCGAGAATGTAGTCGTTCTCGGGCAGCGAGTTGCGGATGCGAGAAACTGTGCATGCGCTACCCAGGGAAGTGGCATATGCCACGCTGGACAATGCAAGAAATGATAAGAATTTATTCATCCTCCTTTAGGTCCCGGGAAATGTGCTGAGTGCAACTGGGGGAATGAATCTTATTGATATTTCTACACCAACTGCGGTGGTCAAGACTCTATATTAGTATCATTGCGAGTCTGATTAATCTCAGGCAAAATTGTACTTTTGCGTAAGACTGTTATTCACCGAATTCCTCAAGGATCATTGATGGTGACGCGTCTAAAGATAAACTAGTCGGATCCAGGGGAATATCTTTAACCGTTTTGCGAAACTGAAGAAAAGATATTAAACTTGGCAATAGATCGATACCAGACCCGCAATGTGTTTTACCTACTTCGGTAAGTAAGGGCGATTTATCCGTATTCGGTATAAATGCCCGCTTAGGACCGAGGCTTGGAATTCGAATTACCGACAACACTGCTACGTATTGCACCAGATATAGTGCCACTCTCAGGGCCTGAGACACTTTTATCCGCGTGGTTTATCCACGCCAATGGTGACGCGTTAAACCGTAACAGGGCTGAGCATATTATTATCAACTTTTCTTGGTCTCACATACTCTGTGATCGTCCCATGTAGGCTGGTTCATAGGCTAGCCCTACCTGGTTGCGTCTAGAACACCGTCGTCACTCGTTGGTGAGACAGACAATTTTAAACGCAGCGAGCCAGTTGGTGCAGTGGCAAACAAGATTCTTCCGCAAGGCATTCGGCTCATAGGGATTAGAGAGGCACATGGTTAACCTTCAACCGATAATCTACAGCGCATAAATTTAAACTGATGATCTACAGTCATTGTTCCCACTTAAGGATGAATGCAGGAGATCAGTGGCCTTGGCATATGCAGGATGCTGACATGTGGAGAAATATTATGTACCCCATAGGGTATAAAATAGTGGATCTAATCAACCATCAAATCTTATGTATGGAAAAAGTCATTTCCCCCATTTTAAGTTGATTTCACCCCTATATTCTATCTACACTAATAAGGGGAAAATATCTATAAAACAGACGTCTTAAAAGACTACCAAAAAGAAAAACGTTCTAATGCCGCATAACATCAGTAGCAAGTCAAAAAAAGAAATTCAAATATTATTTTCTAAGACCTGGTTTTTCAGATATCATAGGACATATTTTACTTTGTGTCTTTTATTCTTACTACCATACAATACAGATATACTAGAATTCATTCTACCTTTGTGGCGAGCAGTATAGGGATGCAGCTGTGATGCAATGAACATTCTAAGAATAATAAAACAAAATTAATTGGATACAGCAAGTATACAAAGAGCGAGATTATAGTACTAATTTAAAATAAGCAAGGTGACTAGCATTAAGAATACAATGAACCACATGAGTGACAGAGAGAGGAAGTAAAGGAGCGGGGTCCTAAACGGTCGAAGATCGGCGAAGATCGAGTATGCACTTCGCCAGAGTACTGGTGGGGCTGAGGCGGACTACGACGGGCGTCCGGGACGATCCTATATATCCTATTTTATAGAGCTATACTCCGTAGAACTGTAGAGAATCCAAAATTCATACATGTACATTTGCTGTTTGATATATACTACGTGATGAGTGTGTACTTTTTCTTTCTTTCCTTGTTTGACATTTTGATCATAATAACAGTAAAAACGAAGGAGGCATAAATTGTCGTTTGACACGAACCTTATCCTTGAACCTATGTATGTAGGTAGGTACTATACAAAACCACCAATGACAAGGTATCGATTGCATGATAAGCGACAGGGGTTCGTTGGCCTCTTTAAAAGGGACTCATTGTCCTTTAGCTCTATTATTTAAAATAAAAACAAGATCACAAAAATAATACACAACATTATGACACCGGAGTGTTCGCTCCAGGCCGACAGCAGTTTCGGCCCTGTGATAGCCCACGGGTGTCGTAATGGCTTTGATTTCACGTTATTATTCGAGCAATCCATATTTGGCCTCATCCCTGCGGTCGCATTTCTCCTCGTGTGTCCTCTTCGATTGCAAATTCTAGTTAAGCGAGATGTGCGGACTAAGCCTCACATAATGAGATTAGCAAAACTGGTAACCACCTCCACACCCTTTCTCTCAGAGTCAAACACAAAGTAACGTCGATTTCACGACAGGTAACTGCCTTGGTGTTTGCCGCGATTCAACTTGCGCTGCTCATCAGCTGGGCAAAGAAAACTCATCCTATTACGAAGCTCTCTGTGACATTGAGTGCCATAAATTTGGTAGTGGCAATGGAAGTTTTGGTCTTGTCATGGGTGGAAGATGAGCGATCAGTTAGACCTTCATCACTCCTCGCTATCTACCTTCTCTTCACATTACTCTTCGATATTGTACAGACAAGGACTCTATGGTTATCCAACGGGAATCTCCTGGTTCCTAGTCTCTTTACTGCAAATGTCACTGTAAAAGCGGCAATGCTGCTTTTTGAGAGCTTAGGGAAGCAGAAACACCTCATTGGTTCCTATCAAGATCTTCCACCAGAATCGACAAGCGGAATCGTCAATCAATCATTCATGTGGTGGCTAAACCGTCTGTTTTCAACGGGCTTTTGCTCTTTACTTACCATCGACGATCTCGATCATCTCGACAAGCCCCTGGAGTCCGCAGGAACAGCGCGGCAGGCCGCGAAAGCTTGGGCTCTACGCCGTCATCCCGAGCGCCGCTTCGAATTCCCATGGCAAATAGGCCAAGCATTTAAGGGAACCCTTGCTCTGATGGTAATTCCACGCCTATTCCTAATCGGATTTACCTTCTCACAACCCTTCTTGATCGCATCTGTTCTCAACTGGCTTGATGACCCACATAGCGAGAGCAATGCGGGCTACGGCCTCATCGGCGCCGCACTTCTAATATATTTGGGGATGGCCCTCTCAAACCTCATATACGACCAGATGTTGTATCGGTTTGTGACAATGTTTCGAGGGGCAGCCTCGTCGATGATCTACGAGCATGCCTTGGACATCCCTGATGGTACCCTAGAGGATCGTTCTGCCACAATTACTCTAATGACTACTGACGTTGACCGGATCATCGACTGCCTAGTCACTCTGAATGAATTCTGGGCGCGGACGATTGAAGTGGGTATTGGCATTGCACTACTCGCGCTTCGGCTAGGGTGGGTTTGCCTGATGCCATTAGTTATTGTTCTCAGTAAGGATTTCAGTCCCAATTCACAGATGGCCAGAATTTGCTAAAGTTTTACAACAGTATCTAGTGGAGGAAGCATTTATATCTCGAAGCATATAGGAGGATACCAGAAAATATGGGTGGATGCCGTGCAGCAACGCATAGCAATCACCCGTTCAATGCTGGACAGTATCCAAACAGTCAAAGCCACTGGATTAGGTCAAACCTTTATCCAGCTCGTGCAGAGGAAAAGAGTTCATGAAACTCGTCAAATGGCCAAATACCGATGGAGTGTGGTCTGGAAGAATATGATCCACAATCTGCCTTGGGCCTTGGCGCCAGCCTTGACCTTCGTCGTCTACGCTGCCCAGGGAAACGAACTAAATCCTACCAAGGCGTTCAGCAGTCTGTCCATCATAACTCTTCTAACCAATCCAGCTTCTAAGCTATTAAGCGCGATTCCTTCCATAGCGGCTGCGACGGGATGTTTCGATAGAGTTCAGGCATTTCTTCTGCTGCCAACTGGTCCTCAACACGCAGCGAAGGGATTTGTTCTCACGAGGGAAACGGAGGTGGATGGATCTCCGCATATCACCGAAATGAAATATATGACTTCCAGGGGCTCACCAGACACTACTGATCTTCAAAAACCAGTCATCTCCATGGAACATCTCGACATTCGGCCATCCCCATCGGCAAAAATTGTCTTGAAAGATGTTAATTTTGAAGTCCCTCTCGGGGCGATGGTTATCATCCAAGGGCCAGTTGGATCTGGCAAATCGACCCTGCTTCGGGCTATACTTGGCCAAGCAGTTTGCGAGACAGGATTCGCGACTGTGACTATTCGACAACCGGCCTTCTGTGCGCAAACGCCGTGGCTCCCAACTGGCCCCATCCGCGATGCAATCTGCGGAGGTTTCTCAGCGGGCCCAGTGAAGGAGGATGCATTTGATAAAGATTGGTACGCGACTATTCTTCACGCATGTGCTCTCAATTCGGACTTGGATATGCTTCCAGAAGGAGACGCTACGCGAATTGGTCACGGATCTGGCCATAGTCTGAGCGGTGGTCAAATGCATCGTATTGCTCTTGCTCGAGCAGTATATGCTCGCAGGAAGCTTTTGCTGTTAGATGACATATTCAGTGCATTGGATCGGAAAACAAAGACTACTATCATAGCGCGTCTTTTGGGAGTTGGTGGACTGCTCCGAAAGGCAAATTCGACCGTAGTTTTGGTCACACATGATAGTAGGACACCCTCAGATGTTTTCTTTTGTTATATATTACGAGCTAACACATTAGCAGCGGAGCAGCTGCCTTGTGCGGATCAGCTTTATGTTCTTTCAGATGGGCGTCTTCGTCTGGAAGAGCCTCGCGAGGGGAATTTATACCAAGAAATGGGATCTGACACCGTGGATGCTGGGGAGTTGACAAAAATCCCAGAGCTGGCGACAGAGGATAAAGCCGCCATGGTTTCAGACGCGAATGAAATCGACGACCTCAGGAGGGCAGCAGGGGACTCTGCTGTTTACAAGTATTATTCGCGCTACGTTGGGTGGATGAACGCTATGATATTTGTCTTATTCGTGACAATGAATGTCTTTGCTAGCACATACAGTGGTATGTAAATCCTCACTTGCTACTTCCGATATCACTGACATCAATTTGCAAATAGAAATATGGCTTCAGCGATGGGCTGATCGCGGCGGAGGGCAAAAGACACTCTATGTCACGATCTACTTCTTCCTAGCCATTTGCAACACCATCGGAAATGGTGGTTATGTTTGGTGAGGCATTCTCTCCAATACTAAATCAAAGTTAACTCCTAACAAAATGATAGGGCTATCCTCATTCTGATCTCGCCCTCAACGGGGCGCCGACTTCATTATGCCGTGCTGAACACTGTCATGATGTACATTCGGTTCTCCTTTCTTGTGCCTCTGTCAACTGCTAACAGCTGAAGGGCAACGCCTCAATATCTAGCCACCGTTGACATCGGGTCAATACTAAACCGATTTAGCCAGGATATGACCCTGGTAGAAAGCGATTTGCCTATTGGTATATTAATCACCGTCTCAAGTAAGACACCTGCCATTACACTCTGCCTCTAGAAAGATTCTCTCGTCACTTTCGCCCGCCCAATTATCGAAATTATTGCTGAACAATCCAGATCTCTTTTCGTCAGTTGCCAGCGCTGCACTAATTGCGACCGGGTCGAAGTACATGGCAATATCTGTGCCTTTCTTGATCATCTCTGTCTATCTCTTGCAGCATTTTTATTTGAAGACATCACGGCAACTTCGACTACTAGACCTAGAAAGCAGAAGTCCGTTGTACTCCCATCTTCTTGATACTGTTGGGGGTCTTGCTACAATTCAAGCCTTCGGCTGGGAAGCAGACTTCCGAATCGCCAATTCAACATTGTTGGATGCTACCCAGCGCACGTATTATATGCTTAATTGCATTCAGCGCTGGCTTACTTTAGTCTTGGACCTCATCGTCGCCGCTGAAGCGGTCATTGTTATCAGCTTAGCAGTGTCTTTGAGACATACTACAAGTGCCGGATTGCTTGGAGTATCGCTCAATAGCATTCTCGGTATGTCTTTCTTATGGCACTTTACTTTGCCCATACTGCCCTTCGATGTCATGATTTCTCTAGCTGACTCATCTCCACGAAGCCTTCAATGGTAGCCTTTCATCCCTTATATCGGGTTGGACACAATTGGAGATATCCCTTGGCTCAATTTTACGGGTCAAGGATTTTGAACTCACAGTGCCACGTGAAATTACAACTGAGCAAGAAATTCCCGTCGGCTGGCCAGTTCACGGGGCTATTGAAATCTCTGGGATGGCTGCGCAGTACAAGTATGTATTCCGCAAGATATATGAGCCATCGCGACGTGTGATTCGCATCACTAACAAACTATGAACAGTTCTGAGACAACAGTACTAAGAAATGTCTCTCTGAAATGTTTGCCAGGTCAGAAAGTCGGTATCTACGGACGTACTGGGAGGTAAGCAATCTTCCTGATAGACCTATTTTTTAATAAGACGACCAGTCATAACTGACCTTCCACTGCATTATAAATTAGTGGAAAGAGTTCTTTACTGTCAACATTATTGGGGATGCTCACCGTGACCACCGGCTCAATTGTCATCGACAACATTGACCTCGCCACTCTTCCCCATGATAAAGTCCGCGAAAAGCTTGTCACCATTTCCCAAACACCATTCGTCATGGTCGGTTGTACAGTCAGATTTAATGTAGATCCCACCGAAAGCCTCCCCGACACAGGCATAATCGCGGCTCTCGACCGGGTTGGACTCTGGGGTGGCGTGCTACTCGAGAGGGGCGGGCTAGATGCCGAAATAAACGACACTCTATCGCTATCTCGAGGCGAGCAGCAACTGCTACAACTTGCTCGTGCAATGCTCAAGATACAAGCAACCAACGCTAAGATCTTGTTGATTGATGAGGGCACCAGTAGCGTTGACGTGAAAACTAACGCTCGTGTTCAAGACCTTCTACAACAGGATCCCTTTCGTACATGCACAGTTCTTACAGTTGCACATCGGGTCCACACTCTTTTGACTTGTGATCTAGTTGTCGGTCTAGATCGGGGGAAGGTAGTAGAGATGGATGAGCCTATGGTTCTGAGAAATCGAAAAGATAGCATTTTTAGCAGCCTTCTCAACGGCGGCAGAAATTAGTTCATAAAATAGAGATTTACAGATCTCATGCAAAGTCCGTACACATCTCTTACAACTAATTATATAAAAATTTAATAATCTAGGAAAAGCAAAAGTATCGGTACAAAAACATGTCAATTGTGTCGCCGTTGTCTACTGTAAAAGCAACAAAAGAATCAAATATGTTCTGCTGGTCAACCAGCTTCCGTTTCTCTTCCCCTTTCTTTCCAGTGAACACAATGGAATTTGTACTATATCGCACTACCTCTGTCTCTGCACCTTTGAAAGTGCTTCCTCTTTAATTTCACATGCGCGAATGGTAAAAGCCAGTAAGATCTGCCCAAGTGAATCCATATGGTTATCCTTTCCAATATTGAAAGGCCCATATTCATTCATTTTCAAGAAGTTAGATCCAGTCGGTGGTTTCTTTCCTTACAGGGCTTTACTTCGACTATGGCCGTTATTGGATTATCTTTATCACCCTGATAACGAAGAAACCCATCCACTCGCGCCTCGCGGACCTTGTGTCCGTCTTTTTTCTTCACAATTAAGGCGCGGCGTTCGGGCGTCCAATCTGCCCCGATACCACAGAAATTGATCAGAAGTGCTTGAAGGTAAAGAAGCAGTGCCATGTTCATAATTTGCTCGTCACTGATGCTCTTGAAGTCATGAGCATCATCCCCGCTGGGCGGAGAGAAGGGTGACATGTGTAAATCACTTTCTGGGCCTTTTTTTTCTTCATCGTTATCAATGGAAAGGACTTCAAGGATGGGGTTCAAAACAACATGGACGACTGGGTTATCATCTTGTGCTGGATGGCAGGAAAGCCAGCTAGGGATACAAAAATTGGAACTGAGGTTGTTCAAGTCATTGAGCAGGATGTCTAGCGCGTTGCGGGACACAGACAACTTTTGGTTCTTTTATTTTCTGTTTTATTTTCTATTTTTGCATTTGTAGATAATGCTAGTCAATGGAGTCATTCCCTAAAACCATCTTTATATGGTATATGGGTATATATACAATAATATCAGACAAAAGAACATCAACTCAACACCAGAACTACAAAAGAACCCCCAATGCAAGTCCCAGGAAACCCAACCAACCCCCCACCCTCAAACCAGAAGCAGTTCCCTCTTCCGGACGGGGGATCGAATTAGCCTCCAACCCACTATACGACAATATCGGATGTCCCTCCGTGAAATCATTCTCAACCTCGGGGTCGGAGACATCAATCCCGTCATCAATATCATCGCTGCCCGTAGCGGCGGCTCTGCTAGAGCTTATAGTAGATTCAGGTGTTGATATCGGTGTTTGTGCTTCGGCATTAGCACAGTTTTGTTGGCGGATGGACTCTCCGTCTTTGTGATATGGGTTTTCTGGACAGTTGGTATAGCAGCTGGGGTGGTATTAGTGTCAATATTATTTGGAAGTGCAGAGCTGGTGTATAAGCTCGACTTACTTTTCTGAGGTACAAGCAGTATTCAGCGTGTTGTCTGCTAATGTTCCCGTTGTTGTCTCTGCTGAGGCAAGAGTAGCAACTGCTAGGATAAATGAGAGGCTGGGTTTCAAATAATGCATTTTGGGAGATTTTATGTATGGATTAGCATATATGGAAGGGAACAGACATCTACGGGATGGACGGGCACACAACTATAAACAAAATGCAGTCCGCTGCTACATTTCTATCAAAGACAAAACATTCCATTCCTACAGTCTTCGTCTATGGTGAAACTCTATTATCGAATACCACATGAGGAGACCCCATACGGTAATACGGTCCTTAGATGGGGTAGCTCTATGTAGAAAATCGTCTGGGCTATATTTGTCTACGCCAGAATACTATAGTCAAAACATTGAAGACCAACCGCATCTCTGCAAGAGAAGGTTGGTCAATGCGTGCGTGGCTGTCTAGGGGGTGTGGCAGGGGGCCTTGGCATACTCCTGGCTTCTTTGGCAGCAACTAGGAGCTAGTAGGGGAAAATAGAAGATTGCATGGAGTACCTCCTCGCAAAATATTACATTCTTGACTGCGACTGGCTGTTCAATGTCATTCTAAGGTTCCTTCGAGTCCCGAGGGCTGGTGCATTCTTCAGCTGGAGTGTCGGGTCTAGGTAGACGCGCCAATAGGGAGGATTCCAGAATGTGGAGGATCGGCGGGTACCTGCAGATTAGTTTGTTTCTGGTTTGGGGTAGTAGGGAGATGTAGACAGTGTATTGTTAATAGGAGTAGAAAGGAAAGCAGCAAGGTTAGTGCTTTGTGCGATGTAGTTAATACCTAGGTAACTACACCAACCTACAAAGTAAGGATAAGTTACCATCATACTGAACATGGTAGCTTTTACAAGTGGTATACTACACACATTGTATATGATCAATAATTCATTGCAGTAGTTTTACTCAACATATAATCCACAAGGCTTACTCTACATAAGTCCAAGTGATCCTATTTACATCAAATATACCTAAGTATAACCCTTACAGACCCTTGGCCTGCTTAGCCTCGGCTAGAGCCTCCTTGAGCGCCGCCAGGGCATTGTCAACATCACCACGGTTGGGGTCAGTAACACTGACACCCATGTGACCGAAACGGATGTACTTAGTAGCAATCTCCTTGTGCAGGCCAGCTGCAAAGATGACACCACGCTTAAGCAGACCAGGCAGGACATCGGCCGGGACCAAACCCTCAGGCAAGTACATGGCAGTCATACCATGAGCCTGGCATTCAGGACGAGCAGCGAGCTGCTTGAGACCAAGTTCAGCAGCAGCAGCCTTGACCTTATTTGAGACCTCGGTGTGGATAGCGAAGCGGCCGGGGACATCGGCGGTGATCTGGGTGAGGGTGGTGTGCAGGGCGTGGACAAGCTGGGTGGGAGGAGTGGCGAAGTAGGAGGGCTTGTTGTTCTCGTAGTTCTGCATAATAGGGAGCCAGTTGGCGATGGAGGCGTAGTAAGCGCCGGGAGGGGTCTTGCGAGACTGGGCGGCCTGGATGGCGCGGCCTGATGTCATGACAATGCTGAGACCGGGAGGGCAGCCGATGGCCTTCTGTGAAGCTGTGAGGACGGCATCGAGGTCCCACTCGTCGAAGGCGATCTCCTCGGAGCCGACACTGCACACGCCGTCCACAACGACGAGGGTGTCTGGGCTGACGCGGCGCACTAATTGTGCCACGCCCTTGACGTCTGAGAGCACACCGGTCGAGGTGTCGACGTGTGTGAGGGTGATGAGCTTGTATGACTTCTCCTTCAGGGCTGCCTCAACCTCCTCGAGCGGGCTGCGATCGCCGATGGGTGCCTTGAGGTGCGTCACGTTGGCGCCGTATGTCTCGAGACACTGGCCGAAGGAGTCGCCGAAGTATCCGGTGTTGAGAACGAGGGCGTTCTCGCCGCGCTCGATAAGGTTGGCAGAGACAAGATCCCAGCCCAGTGTGCCGCTTCCGGAGATGATGAAGGGCTGCGCAGTGGGGCTGGTGGATTGGAAGAGCTTGCGGACAAGAGTCAAGGTCTCACCGAAGACCTTGACGAAGCCAGGAGCGACGTGACTCTCACTGGGGGAGTTAGTTGGTTGTTCATTGTAGCATAATGTAATGTGACCTGGACAACTCACGCATAGTGGGACATAGACTGAAGGACGGCATCATCGAACTCGATGGGTCCTGGGATCAGGAGGGTGTTGTGAGGGGCTTGAGCAGACATTGTGGAAGTTGGTTCGGAGGGAGGGGCAGGAGGGATGGAGCGATCAATGGGTTTATATTCGACGTCGTCAGGGAATAGTGAATCTCTCTCGGTCGAGAACGGAGTATTGAGGTCGGGTAACGGGAGGCGCTGGTCCAGGTGTCTGGAAATCAGGCTCAGGCGCTCCTTAGTAGTTTTGGACGCCAGTTTTCCGATTGCGGCGCGCCGCGGGGTATTTCGCGTGAAAGGGGATTGGAGGAGTTCCCGAGGGTAAGTGACTTCGGGGATCGCCGCCGAGTGGATTGGCCGAGATACCGATTGGGATTCGTTGATTTGTTCACTCGGATGAAGAACCGAGCATGTGAGAGTGAGACTTGAAGGGTTATTTATGAATTGAGTCACGCTCTTCCAAGGTTGTTTCCGAAGGGGGTTTGTTTTTTTTTCCTCTGGGGTTTGGATGTCGGAGAAAGGAAGGCCGGGCGGATCCTACCGATTGACAACCCCAACAGTCTACGTCCTACGCTGTACGTGTTATTCTATAAAGGAATTTGGGGAATTTTGTGGATATGAAGCAATATCTGGGGTATTCTATAGATTTCATGTCATGTTATATCATTCTATTAGCAATTGAGGGGGACTGTAGTATCTATATTGTACCTAGGTACTCCATACATACTGTTTACTGTACGTATGTTGGAGATAGGAGTACCTGAATACTATGTAGACTTGCTCTCTATGTTGAATGCAATATCATTTTCCATCTATTTTGTATATCAAGCTCAATGCCGATGTCTGCCCCCGGCAATTGCTACTACGACTAACCTTGGAAGTGTACCGGGGCACAACTCTGGCCCCGGGGCCCCGGGGCATACTTAAAGTTAGTAATCACCTCCCCCAGCCTAGTGAGCCGCTTATACGGCCTTGTTATGTCTTTTTGTTAGTCTTTTTGTTGGTCTACTAGACGCTCTTTTGAGGTGTATACGAAGGCGGTAAAAACAACATGTTCTAGGGATGTAAGAGACTTTTCTATGTGTAACCTTTGATAACTTTTGATGATGAAGTGAGGGCCCACGGGTCTAAAATACTGCTTGGCAATATTAACTACGGGGTAATGAAAGAGTTGTGCCCCGGTGGCACACTTAATCGCCCGTATGCTACTCCATTAGATCCTCGGACCCCAACGTAGTATGCCCCCCTCCTGATCTTCATACGGTGACCTCCGCAAAGAAGTTAGGAAACCTTCGAAACAACACGGGGTAAACATGCATTGGACTCATCAAGCCGAAAAGCATTTGGACGAGACATTCGGCCTGAACAGCCAATGCGAAACAAAACAATGATCGAGATGGCTTCATGGAACAGATAACGCTAGCCGCATTTAGGTGTAAAATAGGGCTTAGGGCATCCCCTAGTTGCTCTTCCCCGCGAAGCTCCATCAGGCTGAAGCCAACAGGCGTTGTTTCTATCTGGCTTGCTCCGATTTCCGATCACCGTGGATGGACCATTGATCTCCATTTACCCCACACACACCATCCAGGATGACCGCCCGTTTGGTCTTGGTCATTGGTGACCTATTCATCCCTGACCGAGCTCCTGTAAGCTGTCCTCAGCTCAGCTTGACTATCTCCGCTAACACATTGTCTAGGATCTTCCAGCCAAGGTCCGTCTTTATTCTGCGCCTTGGTTTATTCCACCCTGCTGACAATGTCTGGCGATTCTAGTTCCGCAAACTCCTGACCCCTGGCAAGATCGGCCAGACCCTTTGTCTGGGCAACCTGACTGACCGCGAGACCTATGATTTCCTCCGCGAGGTAGCCCCAGACCTGCAGATGGTCAAAGGCGACTACGATGTCGACTCTCCCAACCTCCCACTCTCCAAGATCGTGAACCATGGCAGTCTACGAATTGGTTTCACTCATGGCCACACCATCGTGCCACCCGCCGACGCCGACGCATTGCTTATCGCGGCCCGCCAAATGGATGTCGATGTCCTACTATGGGGTGGCACCCACCGCTTCGAGGCATTTGAGATGGAGGGACGGTTCTTTATCAACCCGGGAAGCGCAACGGGTGCCATGAGCTCCGGCTTCTGGCCAGATGGCGAGGAGCCTACACCCAGTTTCTGTCTGATGGACGTGAGTTGCCCTGGCAGATTGGAGGATATTTTATATGCTGACCCTGAATAGATCCAAGGTGATGTCCTTGTGTTGTATGTCTATCAGCTGAAGACCGATGCCAATGGGGTGGAAAATGTGGCTGTTGAGAAGGTCTCCTTCCGCAAGAACCACCCCCCGGCCTCGTAACGCTGACCTTATGCCTACTGCTCCTCCTCTCTTCCTCCGTGTAAATAATTGCCTTGGTGTTCGCCTGATCATATGTTCTTCTCTTTCCCTCCGCCTTGTTGCAGATCCCATGCTTTTTCAATTTGATACATGATACCTTGAATCGAGTCATTTCCTCAACATTGTCTACGATGTTGCTATCTACTCCTATGGGCTGGATTGCTCGCTCTGATTTCCTTGATTTTTCCCCAAAACAGGAGTCTTCCGATAGAATTGAACTTATCCTTTTCATTTTGTAATCTTTTGGTGGCTTTCTTGCCCCTCTCTCCCTGGCCGTGGGGATTTTACTTATTTGGTAACATTTGAAGATGTATGTACCTTAGCCAGAAGTAGATCATGTATCTAGTGGAAGAATCAAGGATCATACCAAAAGAAAATATTACATGAAGCACACCAATGGTTTATAACCTTTGATTAACTTGATATTTCTCTTCAGGTTGAATGTGTGTACGAAAACAAATGGACTCCTTTACACATTATATATATATATGTACTTGTATTTTCCTAAATATGTTGAGAGTGAAGTAAATTCAGATTATTAAAGTATCACATTTGTGAAATTCCCATATGGGTGTCTCATACAAAGGTACTTATTTCTGGAACGTTCATAAGGTGCAAGTTTGTGTCTCATGGAACACACCCAGTCCCATCACCGTGAATGCAGATGAGGCTGGAAAGACGATTGCCGGTATACACCGCCCGGCAGTATATCACCGATTCATCGCCGGAAAAGGCGCTATTCCCGAATGAGAAAGCCTGTCGTTGCCAAATCCCAGAACTTCAATTCTCTGCCGCCTAGAGGTCTTGAACAGAGGGTTCTGTTAACTCGTACAAATCATCTGGGCAGTTCCCGATTTAAAGTAACTCAATACCTTCGTTTTCATCTGCCAAATTTGACGCGCAAAGATTAAACCGACCCTCGGAGAGCTTTAACTTGCTCCCCTCATCGGTATCCGGCGCTTTCACCGACCCTTCGAATACCCCCATCCCCAACATATTTCTTTTTTCTTTTTCACGACAAGATGGCTGCCGAAGGCCAGGAGATCCCAGAGGAGGTCAAGGGGGAGCAGATCCCACCCCAGGAAGATGGTGTAGATGACGAGGTACGTGTAATCGGGGTTGTTCCGCTGCATTGAAACGCGATTCCACTCTTTGTTCGAGTTCTTTGGGCCTTTTCTTTCACAACCACGTCGCATAATTTTCCTCATATACGAGACATATCCCGCTAACATGATTGATCCATATAGGAAGAGATTGAGGCCATGAAGCGACGAGTGGCTGAGATGGAATCTGAGGCGGCCAAGCTGCGCGAGATGCAAGCCGACCTTGACCAGCAGACTGAGAGCCTTCAAGAGAACAAGGAAGATATCGATGCGCGTAGCATTTTCGTCGGCAATGTCGACTACGGTGCTTCGCCAGAGGAGATCCAGGCTCACTTCCAGAGCTGTGGTTCCATCAACCGGGTTACCATCTTGCTGGACAAGTTCTCTGGCCAGCCCAAAGGGTGAGATTTGAACAGATGGAAGGAAAAATACAAGATGGAAGATGTGCTGATAATGCGCTGCAGTTATGCCTACGTTGAATTTGCGGAACCCAGCCTGGTCGCCCAGGCTCTGGTGTTGAACGAGAGTGTCTTCCGCGGTCGCAACTTGAAGGTTGGTTTATAATTGCTGGTACTATTCTCTCTACACTTGCTGATGTTGAAATAACAGGTTGTTCCCAAGCGTACCAACCTGCCTGGTATGCACCGTGGCCGTGGTGGCTTTGGCCGCGGTCGTGGTCGTGGTCGTGGCTTCCCTCGTGGTGGATATCGTGGCGGTGCTCCCTACCGGGGCCGGGGACGTGGTTTCTCGCCCTACTAAATGTGTTGTTTGAGGGTGTTTTGCAAATTCCGGCTCAGGTGTCCGATTTCAGGACCTTATTCTCTCCTCATTTTCTCTAGTGGGTTTGGAGTTGTGGGAACTATGCTGTACAATAATTTCCGGGCAGAGAATTAGCAAAAAAAAAAAAAAAAAATAAGAGATAAGATTTAGGTATGGCGCTTTGGGGGGTGCTGTATTTAATGTACTAGTAGTTAGCTGATATAGAGGATTGTGTATTATATATGGTACAGGTACTTTGTATCCTTAATGGTATATAATGGTATACTAAAGAGCATAATAGAGAAATATAGATATGAATATGGCTGCCTAAATAAAAGGTCATACTAAGATAGCTGTGATAATTGTGATATTTCCTTTTTATCATATTAATATCAAACTTGAATTGCCACTCTACCCGCCCACACCCGCTGAATTTACTCTATTACGTATGCTTAAAAAAGAATGAAAGGAAAAAAACAATAATTGGCATTCTAGGGCTGTACAATATTCTATATCTAATGAAGTAAAATAAGAGTGAAATCATATTCTAACGTTTATAAATCTCCCGTGCTCAGCCCCAGGAAGTACTGACCGGGTATCCCGTACATAGTGAATACGTAGTCCAAGTACCTGCGCCATACAAACCCGGGCGCACCTAACGCCTAACCCTTCCCTTTCTCTTCCTTCTCCTCTCTCAACAACCTACCATCACCAAACCTGCAAATCACCAACCTATCCACTCTTTCCAGGCTTTGACCCTGGGCGAACTCGGTTTGGTCCTTCTCCCCCTCGTGAATGTGCGCGCCCGCGCTGTTCTTTGGGCGTGATTGATCGCTTGTAAAGCATCATGGCGTCAAACCTTCCAGCGTAAGTTGGACTTCTCTGGCTCTATTCCGATCGACATTCGATCTTCAGATCATCCGCTGACATGAATTGTAGCCAGCCAAATCTCCGGGTCACGAGTAAGACTCTCATTCTGTCGAATCGTCCTGGGACTTCTGCGGGGTTCCGCATCCGTACAAGACTAACATCTCTGGTTATATAGTTATCGCGGCTGACGGCTTGTACAAACGTGATGTCTTTCGTATGTTGTCTTCTTCAGATCGGTTGATCGAGTCCTGCGGGGTTGAACTGACCATTTCCTTTTTTAGGATTCCCCGATCCATTCGCCGTGGCTACTGTTGGAGGAGAGCAAACACATACAACCTCTGTGATCAAGAAGACTCTGAATCCCTACTGGAATGAGCCATTCGATTTGTACGTGATACCCCACCACCGTCTGGGAAAAGGGTGAACCTCGTTAACCATGGATCTTTACAGGAGAGTCAACGAGGACAGCATTCTTGCGATTCAGATCTTTGACCAGAAGAAATTCAAGAAGAAGGACCAGGGTTTCCTTGGAGTCATCAATGTCCGCATCGGCGATGTCATTGACTTGTCGATGGGTGGTGATGGTACGTCCGAAGATCGCCGATCGCGAGTCATAGAAACGTGGACTGACTTGACGGCCATGTGCCCCCCACAGAAATGCTTACTCGGGATCTGAAAAAATCGAATGATAACCTCGTGGTTCACGGGAAATTGATCATTAACCTATCCTCAAACCTCAGCACCCCACATCCGAACCAGAATGGACTCCAACGTCAACAGGCCCAGACCTCGACTTCCAGCGGTCTTGTGCCCCAGGTTGCAGCACCAACACCCCAATCACAAGCTGGGCCGAGCACCCTTGATACGTCCCCTGCCGCAGCATCAAGTTCATCATTGGCCCAGCGCACTTCGACCACCGGCCCCCGGCCGGTGCTCCTCCCTCGTTGAATGGCGCCCCCACCAACCCCCTGGACCTGGCGCCCCATCTCGCGCCAACCTCAGCTCCTTTGAGGACAGTCAGGGTCGACTCCCTGCCGGATACGAACGACGCGAGGACAACTTGGGACGGACATATTATGTGGACCATAACACGCGCACCACGACATGGTCACGACCATCGGCCAACTACAACGAGCATACCCAGCGTTCGCAGCGCGAAGCCAACATGCAGCTTGAGCGTCGGGCCCACCAGAGCCGAATGCTTCCCGAAGATCGAACCGGCGCCAACTCACCCAACCTGCCAGATGCCCAGCAGATACCTACACCACCGCCCGGGCCTAACGCAGGAACCTCTCTCGCAACTGGAGCCCCAGCTGGGTCCAATGCCGCTGCGATCTCCATGATGGCGACGGGAGCCACCACTGCAGGCACAGGGGAGCTTCCACCAGGCTGGGAACGACGCGTGACGCCCGAGGGACGTCCTTACTTCGTGGACCACAACACGCGCACAACGACATGGGTCGATCCTCGTCGGCAGCAGTATATCCGCATGTATGGCCAGGGACAGACCACAGGTGGCGCGAACAACACCACCATTCAACAGCAGCCCGTATCCCAATTGGGTCCTCTCCCCAGCGGCTGGGAGATGCGTCTTACCAACACGGCTCGTGTATATTTCGTTGACCACAACACCAAGACGACTACCTGGGATGATCCGCGACTACCCTCCTCTTTGGATCAGGGTGTGCCCCAGTATAAGCGTGACTTCCGCCGCAAGCTGATTTACTTCCGGTCCCAACCCGCGTTGCGCATTATGTCCGGACAGTGCCACGTTAAAGTCCGTCGTAATAACATCTTTGAGGATTCATATGCCGAGATTATGCGCCAGAGTGCATCCGATCTTAAGAAGCGCCTAATGATCAAGTTCGATGGCGAAGATGGTCTTGACTACGGTGGTCTTTCACGGTATGTTCTATTCTTTTTTTCCACGGTATTAGTGAAAAGTTGCTAACTCTCTCAGTGAATTCTTCTTCCTCCTCTCTCACGAAATGTTCAATCCCTTCTACTGTCTCTTCGAATACTCTGCCCACGATAATTATACCTTGCAGATTAATCCCCACTCGGGCGTGAACCCCGAGCATCTCAATTACTTCAAGTTCATCGGCCGAGTGGTTGGTCTGGCTATCTTCCACCGTCGTTTCCTGGATTCCTTCTTCATTGGAGCTTTCTACAAGATGATGTTGCGGAAGAAGGTCAGTCTTCAGGATATGGAAGGTGTGGATGAGGATCTGCACCGAAATTTGGCATGGACACTGTAAGTTTGATACATGCAATCTCGTTTGAATAACCACACTAACACCAGGGGCAGGGATAATGACATTGAAGGAATTGTGGAACTCACATTTTCGGTTGACGATGAGAAGTTTGGCGAGCGTCGCACTATTGATTTGATACCCGGTGGCCGGGATATTCCCGTCACCAACGAGAACAAGCCACAGTACATTGAGTGAGTGGAACCAGCCCAGCCTCTAGCCTGATGAAACACCGCTAACCAAATTGCAGGTTGGTTACGGAATGGAAGATCATGAAGCGTGTCGAGGAGCAGTTCGATGCCTTCATGTCTGGATTCAACGAGCTTATCCCCCCGATCTCGTCAACGTCTTTGATGAGCGTGAACTCGAGTTGCTCATTGGTGGTATCGCCGATATCGATGTCGAAGACTGGAAGAAGCACACCGATTACCGCGGCTACCAGGAGCAGGATGAAGTCATTCAGAACTTCTGGAAGATTGTCCGCACCTGGGATGCCGAGCAGAAGTCCCGTCTTCTCCAGTTCACTACTGGTACCTCGCGTATCCCTGTCAACGGATTCAAGGATCTGCAAGGATCCGATGGTCCCAGACGGTTTACCATTGAGAAGTCTGGTGATCCTAATGCGCTACCCAAGTCGCACACTTGGTACGTATCCAATGTTGATTCTTTTATCTGGTGTATTATTGCTAACCTTTTTCGTCACACAGCTTCAACCGTCTTGATCTCCCTCCTTACAAGACGCACGATGCCCTCGAGCACAAAATGTCTATCGCGGTGGAGGAAACGCTTGGCTTTGGACAGGAATAGAGAGTCTGTTGCTATTATCTCTACTCTGCCTCTACTGTACCTGGATCTCTCTCCCTCTTCCCCTCTTGCAGCAGCGTGCAATGCAGGATTTATTCCCTCTCCTGTTCTGGATTCTTGGTGTTCTTTGTTCAATGTAACCCACTACTCACGAAGCTCTCGTCTTTTTTTTTTTTTTTTACAAGCCAACCAAACCAACATTCAATTTCCGATTTTCTGGATCACTGGATTAGGATAGGATTAGGGTTGGAACATTATGGAGGTTAAGTCCATTCTGTTCTTCTTGTCCTTTCTCTTGTTCTTGTTCTCCCTATCCTTCTCTTCATGTTGGACAGGGAATCCAGTTCTACCTCTCCTTTTTCCGTCTTGTTACATCTCCCTCGAACTGGCTATACATACCCATTCTGGATCTTCCCACACTCGTTCTGTATTCAATATTCTACGTAGCGAAAAAAGAAAGAAATCATCGAACTTCCTCTGTCGAGAGCTTTCACTTGCTTTTTGTTCATACTGCTAAACCACATCCCTCCCTTCTTTGATATGACTGACTGACTTCTGTGTCGTCCGTTGTCCTTGCTTTATTCCCATTCCTGTTTTGTTTTGCATCACCCATCCTATGGTCGATCATATACTAATCTTGTATGGGCGTACTTGTAGAGTTAAGGTCATAGTTAGCGTCGTTGATGTAAGTACATTCCTGGAAGCATATTGAGCCAATGCTCTCCCAGAAGGGTTAGCAATTAAAGCTCTCAATGGGATAATGATACGGAGTACCCTCCAGTACGTTCCAATATTGTGTTAGTATCTATCAGATACAAACATCGAAATCTTTCAGCCGGTTCAGCCATATGGCTGTATGAGATACATACGTATGTTTATGTACCCAGTATCTGTACATAACAAAATACAATGATAAATAAAATTATCTGTGTGGATGGTTGCATGAGAGCAGAGATTGGGATGAGATTGGAGAATTACCGAATGGGGCAATGGTCCCGATCTAAAATCATCAAATATTCTTCAATGTCTTTTCTAAGTTGGTGTATGAATCATCACAAATATGGCTAATACGGGATTGGGGATGAAACTAAACTTAGCGGTATAGTGCCCTACAATAGCACTCTGTTACGGTAAGGCACTATATCGTTAGATTTAGTTCCATTCTCGATCCTGCCTCTTTTTTTTCGTCCATACCTTACCGTTCGTTTTGCGCTCGCTAAATCATTTTTTTATCATGCTTGTTTGGTTATGCCATCCCTCTCTGGTGACCATGCTATATGTTCCTCTTTTCTTCCTCTCCTTCTCCTGTTCCTCCTCCTCTGCCGTCGGCTCAGTTTATAGAAACCACATAGTCCCTTTTAAGGTAGTATAAGTATCACCACTAGGATGTCCAATACGACAAGTTGGGCGGAATGGAGCCTAGCGGTATACTGCTCTATAGTGGCTATTGTTATTATAGGGTTCTATATCGCTAGGTCCCATGCCGCCCAATATGCCCCCCCCCTTTTTTTTCTCTCTTCTGAGCCACCGTTCGGTGCGCAAGCGCCACATGTATCTTTTCATCGAGGAGATACTTATTTGTTTGCTGGACTTAGGCCTAGGCCCTACACGCGGTTGCGCCGCCTCGTCTCCTTTTCCTCGCCCGTCTCCTTTGCTTCACAGGAATCACAGTCTTTCCGATCCCATACCTAGGCAACTTTAGAGTTCACGATATCCCCAATTTTGGTTACAGTAAAATCCTACCCATCTCTTACAGGCAACTTAATTGAGTGAGTTCTTGAATTAGAATGACACAATATAGTCCGGGACGAGATCACAATGATTTGAAGCATTCGGCTTGATATAGCAACGCGCGCACACACATATACACACACATACAGACAGACAGTCTCATGTCTCCGAGAGCGAGAATCAAATATTCAGTCCAGCAGCGACAAGTGACAATCCAACAAGCAGGGAAATCTGCACTCCAATTGCCCCGGCACCGCCTTCATCATCGCCGGAACTTGCCGAGGTACCCGCAGAGGTACTTGCGGAAGCACTCGCAGATGCACTGGCAGATGCACTCGTGGAACCACTAGCCGTCTCGACCGGTCCATCGCAGTGCCAGTGGTCACCATGTGGCTCACAACCAGTAGACTCGGTAGGACTAGGGACTGCAGGAGAAGCATCCGCAGAGGTGGTGCTCACTTCAGCCTCGCTTGCTGTTGATGTACCCGAGACAGTTGTCGACGCCGGACCGTCACAGTGCCAGTGATCGCCATGTGGCTCGCAGCCAGTAGACTCGGTAGGACTGGGAATTGTGGGGGAAGCATCTACTGTGGTGCTCACTTCAACCTCGCTTGTGGTTGATGTACCTGAGACAGCTGTTGAGGCTGGGCCGTCGCAGTGCCTGTATAGAAGTGTTAGTGGACACCTGTGTGAGTATAGGACGGGATAGAACGAACCAATGGTCTCCGTGTGGCTCACAACCGATTGAAGCAGTAGGAGATGGGCCTGGATCCTCAGTCGAGGCTGCGGATGAGACCGAGGTCATCAGTGCAATGAAAAAGATGGATAATCTCATTTTGGCGAGGTGATTTGAGCGCTTTTTGCAGTATAATCACAATGTCGGATATTTTCAAATCAGGAACTTACTGCACAGGGTCCGGACCCTTTATACCTACCGTTCCGCTGAGCTAGTAGGGTTTGCGACGCCAAGAAAAGAGGAAGTCTTGGTGCCCCAAAGGTTCTCAATGAGCCTTGGCGCCGGCGGGGGCTGTCTCATTGTTTTGGGAAGATTATTGGTCTTTAGCTAGATGGCTGTGTCTGTGGGTAAGAATTTTTATTAATGAGCGATGTGCTTTTTCCCCGAGATATCTTGGCTATCTTGGATTGGACCATGTGTAGGTCAGACCAGACAGTCCCTGCTGATCCCAACTTGCCAATTGTTTGAAATACAGCCTACTTGTATGGGTTTCAAGCCCAGGAGAATAAATCATTCTTCTCGGTTTGTTTAGTACATTCGCTCAGTGTAGCTATTCTGTACTAGTTAATATTGTTGAGCTACAGTCCCGGAATCAGCGGAAACCTGTGCCCGAGAGGCTGACTGCGCTAGCTAGTCAATGCGAGCTAGGGTAAAAGGAGCGCCACTATATTGACCATGGAAAAGGAATTGCCATTCGGCAGTTAAACTGGGTGGGTATTATACGAGATATCGTGTTGTCCCAGCAAAGACGCAGGTGACTGGCAGCCCTATCCCGTCTCATATCTCCCATTCTTGAACCGAGGTTGAATTCAGATAACCTTTTAGTAATAAATAGCTACTTTGGTTTAGTCTTAATAGAAGATAGTAAACAATGCAATGGAGCTAGTTCCTGTTCTACCGCTTAACAGCCTCCCAATATTGCGCCTGATATGCATTCTTATTCAACCCACGCCCATTCCGCCCATATGCCACCTCCAGCCCTCGCACTGGCAAGTTAGGCAATGTAATATTTCCAATTGTGGGATCTGTCTCCTGGAAATCGAATCCCATGCTCTCACTTAATGTCACAATCTCGTCCAGTGATAACTGCACAAATGGTGCGGTGCCATACAATAAAGGTCCTAGGTTCACCCAACGGCCACCAGGACGAAGTAGTCTGTGGATAGTCTCAAGATATGTGACTAAGTTCCGCGCGGTATCGATGAAAAATAAGGTCACCAGTATATCGTATTGACCTGTGTGTTCTGCAAATGCCGTAGTGAAATCTCCCTCCATGAGCAAGACAGATGATGGTTGGATAACTTCGTTTGGAAACGTAACTGAGCGCTGGAGATCATCGGTCGTGGGCTGGTGAGACCACCAGTCGACGTAAGGGTGAAATCGTACACTGTTGGGAACGGAGAGACTGGACACATAACGGTATGCCAGATTCATGTACATTGACCATTCATTCATAGTGACCTCAAAGTCTTAAACCACTCGAATTAGCCAATGGAAGTTTCCAGATAGGAAATTTCGCACTTACCTCCAAGTTTATCAACCTCATGCGCCAATCTTCCCAGTCCAGCCCCTGGTAACAGCACTCGCAACGGTCTATCTTTTGTCCGTGGCGTCTCGGAGATCGATTTCAAAATACATCCAAAGGATTGTTCTCGTTCTTCATGGCCCTCGTCTGCCCAGTCACGCACAAAGTGCTTCATTCCCTGCGAGACGCTAGTCTTATCAGCGGACCGCTGCTGACTCTCATTTTCTCTGATGAATTCGTCCAATTCAGATTGAGTGATATTGTAGAACCAAAGACCGTGATCAACAATAGATCTGGCGATTTCGTTGTTTGTGTCCAGCAGATGTTCCATTGTGTTGAGTTTACGTGTGTAGTGGACAGTTGATTCGAGCATCTACACCAGTCAGTCAGACCTGCTGAGCAACTTGGGTACCTGCAAAAGAAAAGAAAAGAAAGACATATCATACCGTTCGCTGCCGCTTGGGGACGTTTTTGTAAAGATTTCTCCATCGATCTACCTCAGCTAGGTTTTTGTCTTTGTAGCGGGTATATCCATGCAGGGCAGTTAACAATCGATGTCGAGGATGGGTAGTGTCCCATTTCCCACTGGATCGCTCAAGTTTCTGCAATAGACGTGCGTGTTCTTCATTTTGTGTAGACAGTGGCACTTTGTATTGAGATGTAGTAGTATTGTAAGGTTCAACTTTGTAGGAGATATCCTGCAAGACATTAGCCCTAAGTAGATAGTATCAGTTTCAGGATATTGATCTCACCTTAATCCACGGGGAGAGGTGAATAGCAAACCCCGCCCATGCCACGCATATAAATATGAAGAATGCCTCACGTAGCATTTTGTCGGAATCGGAGAATTTTTTTAAAAAAGCAATTGGATGGAAAATCTATCGCCGCAGTAGACCCTTATGTGAGTGACTGCCAAGCCTTGCCCAGCCCTATCCTCTCAAGGTCCTCGATGCCAAGAAACTATTGAGGTTTCTGGGAGACATGGCGCAATACCATGTGTGGATTTACAGAATAGGCCACATCAAATAGCACGGATGAATGGTTCGAAGGGTTCTCGGACGATGCTGTCTCATTCTCTGTCAACCGGTCACTTTTCAGATTCATCATCTAGACAGCATCGAATGGCGATATTGAATGGCGATATTCAATACCTTCTACATCACTTTAACCGGTGATTTTAAACTTCTGAAATTCACTAGAGACTACTGTACCGAGGTCCAAGCGTAAATCAAAGTGATGGTGATATTCAAGCTGAGACAAGATGCAAAATAATCCTGCCAAGCCAACCAACACCATTAGGGTTAGGTATCTTTTGTATGGTAACTCAATACAAAAGGTACATGAACTCATTGGTCATAGCCTCAATTTTATCAACTCCCAATTTAGTTATGGGAGATATATAAAGACCTATTAGTGTAAGTTAAATTCTTGGTCTCCTCCAGTGTTCAAGCTAACCTTGGTAATAATTATTAAGTATACTAGAAGCAAGATAATAGTTAAACTTTTATATACGATACACCTGGGCAAGCAGCTAAGGCCGACCCTCCGGGCCGAACAACAGCCAAGCTCCTAGAAGGAGTACCTACACGAAGCTTTCCATTCACTGTCGTTAACCTTGGCGTCACGTGTGTCAATGGGAGTCGAGTGAGCAGGAAATGTTCAGTGTAGTTGACCGCCAGGTGAATCTCCATGTCTTCCTCAGCCGGTCACGAGGAAACCGCATCACACCAAGGTTGTTCACTAGTGCATCGATGCGGGCACAGAGTAGTTGTTTGATTTAGCGCGAGGCCTACTTCGCCGACATAGATAGTGACATGTCAATATATACAGTCGCGAATTCGAATTGAAGACTCGGGCGACTACCCAAGGTCGCTCTAAGAAGTCACCATCAACAAAACCCCGCTTTGAGGCGCAGGGAACTACTAATCTTGGCACGAGCGAGACCGCTGCCATTACCTGATTCTTCTTTCAAGCAATGCTTAACTAAAGTCCAATCACCTTTTTATGTCAAGTGGGTAAAATCTATTCGAGTAGTTTACCAAGATATGTCGCCAATAGTTCACTTTGTACGCCACGCGCAAGGCGTCCACAATCTCAGCCATGAAAACCACCATTTGCCCGACCCCGAACTGACCCCTCTGGGAGAAGAGCAAGCCCGTGCCTTGGGTGCTACGTTCCCTGCATTAGAAAATATTCAACTGATCCTGTCATCGCCACTGCGACGCACGATTCAGACTGCGTTATTGGCGTTCCCATCACATGTGGGGGACGGAGCCCTGAAAGTTATCGCCTGGCCAGAGGTGCAGGAAGCAAGTGATCTCAACTGTGACACTGGTAGTGACCTGCTTGATATCAAGGCCGAGTTTGAGAAACTGCCGGTAGATTTTACTCTAGTAGAGCCTGGCTGGCATATCAAGGTATGTTTTCAGCGTCTAATCCGCTTGGTTTATGAAAGGCTAAGTAAATTGCATATATATAGCAAGGCAAATGGGCTCCGGCTGCGGGTAGGCTTTTAGAGAGAGCTCAACTGGCACGGGAATGGCTGAGCCAGCGACCTGAAAAGGAGATCGTGGTGGTTTCCCACGGTTGTTTTCTGCATTTTCTTACAGAGGACTGGGTGAATGCTGACAATTCACATGGTGCGTTATGAGCTTCTCACATCCCACTGCCTCATGCTAATCTATAATGTAAAGTAACTGACTGGGCTAATGCTGAGGTTCGCTCCTTTGCTTTTGAACATGAGGAGGATGGAAGACCGGTTTTATGTGAGACAATAGAATCCAGGGAAAGACGAGGATTGGAACCAGTTGCCCTTTCCAAAGAACAACGGCTAGAGTTGCAGCAGACGAAACTGCAAACCTGGATCGAATGGGGTGTCATCTTGGCGTGATCTATTTTACTACGTGATTATACAGGGGGTATAAAATATCAATAAAGGTTATAAATAATCCTCGATAGGTGGAGAATACTAGCAAGGATCTAAAATTGTGATTATCGTGGTGATACCCGAGAATGAATGCATAACTCAGGGTATGAAGAAACGGGCATAAAACCGTGGACAAAGGTGTTTACTCTTTCCACCTCTTATACAAACCTATGATCCGAGAAGTAACTAGTATAAAAGGAAAGGCTTAAAGAGCTAAGAATATCGATGAGTGAGTGATATGATGCAGAAATGATATTCAACCCCGAAAATGTACTTGGTTATAAAGAATCTATCTTCACTCAGATACGATCCTGTCCACTTTTTCTTATTGACATAGGCCCATGTAATGTACAACCGCTAAAACTTACCACAAGAAACAAAATTCAGATAGAAATGCAAATTTTAGAGATCCCATGCCAATGAAGCGGCTTTCCTCCAACGAGCCCCCTGGGCCAGTCTTGATCGTGCTGTGGATTTAGCCAATGGGAAAACCATCACCTGGCTTGTCTGCTCTGGCGTTTAACGGCAGCCTGGGGCTCTGGCAGAAATCTTACTGTAAACGATAAGCCCGAAGCAAGTATGATCATGAGTAACCAGATGGCATGACCCCCAGCCAGCTGCGTCCTCGCTCCCAAAGCGAAAATGCTG